TAGGGAAAAAGTCACATCTTAAATCGTTGAGGAATAATAGTCTAACCAGAATGACATTCAATAGTAATATATTTACTACAGCAAAATGATGTTGGGAAAATGAGAAATCAAACAATTCTCTATATGGCTTATGATATTCCAAAAAAGCAAGAATTAGCACTCAATGTTTTATATACCTACTTATTAAGAAAATTAATAAAGAACCAAGAAATCATTATTAGTTCACAAGAACATGAAGTGGAAGGAGCTTAAATGCTCCTCAGTTGAATTATTTTGGTACTTTTGGCCTTGCATATATTCTTGATCTAAGAAGGGTAGAGTCAGATAAAAAGAGTGGCTTCATTGGAAATAATGTGGGTCAAAGGATTAGGAGCTCTTTGATCCAATTATAGGAAGCTACATTGAGTCGTGATGTGTAGAGGGAACTTGTTATTGGAAAAGCAACAAAAATATCTTACTATTTGAATAAGAAGAGAAAATGACGCAAGCAAGCAAAAAGCAACAACCTACTACATCATCATTGATTCCCACTTAGAATCCTAAATCTCATTCTCAAGGAGGAAATTTCAAAACAAAAATCAAATCATAAATCCAACAGTGAAAATGTAACCATAGAAATTACCAATCAATCCCAATCCAGGCTGCACATTGCCTCCAAACTAAAACACCGACAAGAATAGGAAATCAAGCATTAAAATGCAAACCAGATCAAATAAAGCAAAAGATTTCATAGTCGCGGGTCAGCACAGGGAGGGAAGGGCGGCACTGTGCAAGGCTTCGTTGAGGGAACAGGGAAGGGAAACTGCAGTTGTTTTGTGTGATTCGTGCGTGACACGAGAAGTGCGGTAGGTTAACAGGAGGAAGAATTTCGTCGAAGGGAATAGTGATGTGCGTGATATACTGTGCAAAATTTTGGTGGTGAACAAGAAGAAGAAAACACCATGAAATTGGAGGAAGATTTTTAACTTTCCATTGTGCGGCCTTCAAACAGAAATGGGATGACGAAGAATTGATTGCAAGCGAGACTTTGAGATTTTATGTGGTTTCGAGCGGACCGAATGTACGCGATAAAGAAGTGGAATGAAAGCAATCTGAATGTAATAGGCTTTTTGTTTGTCATGATCCCGATCACTATTCTAATCTTGGCCACGGAAGAAAGGGCGACGAACATCACCGTCGCTTCCGCCGTGCATGTCGCTGGAGAAGAAAGGTGAGATAGTGTCGCCGCGCTGGTGAGAGTGACGACCTCGAAGTTATTGAAGCGAGGGGGGCACTGGAGGAAATGTCCTGAAAAGCAGATGGAAGACGCGGGTTGCGGGGTGCATTTAATACAAAACCTAAACCTCCGTTTCCCTGCTGCAGCAATAATGCAAGAAACAAACGCAGAGCCGACGCTTTCAAAACGCCAATCGTACTTTTAAGTTGCGCCAAACAAACCCTCATACTGTACTTAAAATATACACATTCCAAATATTTGAAACAAAATGACCTCTTGATGAAACTTTAGATTTATTTTTTTAGCTTTTCACCTCTCACCGATTCATGGGCTGTCTTATGATTAAATTCTGCAGCGAAATTTCAGCCCCTAAATTTCGTTCATTTCCTACTAGAGGTTCTTTTAGACCTGTCAGCTTTTAGCACAAATGTTGAAATAAAAAACACAATAAATTATTTTTGATTCTTTATTATTTTTAACTGATTAATGGATTGTTTTGTTACTGTGTAATGTTTTAAGGATGCTGGCTATCATTTTTTGATTATGAATTTTGAATTAGTTGTTGCCAGCTGGGCAGCTGTTTTGATCCAATATTACTTTTTCAGTTGTTTCTTGTATTTAAAATCATCCATTTGACATGTAGAATATCCATGCGAACAACTGCGAAAAAATTCTAAAAAGAGTGGTCATTTTAAGTTTTAATTGTTTTGCATCTTTCTGTTTATTAAAACTTGAGTTGCCATTATTGTGATGGTAGTCTTTTCTTAATCTGTTTACGCACAGAATGAAGATGAGGATATCGTGTATGTGTATGATGGATACATGCACAAACTGATGATGTGCTTTCTTTCCCACCCTTTTACCAGAGCGAAGGTTAGTGTTATTTAACTACAGAAGTTTTTTTATGCTTGATTAAGCTGAAATTTATTCCATTAATTTTTCTTATTGTCTCCAAGCTGACTTTTTTTTTTTGTAATTAAGAGTAATGTTAAGTTGTCTGTTTGCATGATTCAGAGTAAATATTGTTTAGTTTGACTGCAAATTATCAAACAGTTTTGTAGCATGCCCTTTCTTTCTTACAACAGTATGATATTGGTAACCTGCAACATTTAGGTGCTTTCCAGGCTTTGGCCTCCATCATTTCTGCACATATTAATTTCATGCTTAATATCTCTGCTAGTTTTTATTTGCTTGCTTTTAGATAGAAAAATATTCTAGTTTCGACAAGGAAGTTTCTAATTCTCGTAATTATGCTAAAACAAATATATACTCAGATATACTTATTTGAATTTGAATTTTTGCCTCTTATTGTGGCAGTTCACAATTCAATTATTCACACTTTGGCTGCACAATCTTTTTTGGCATATAGAAGCTTTGCTTTTCACTTTTGGTGATCGGATCAATTCCAATAAAAGTAGAGTGATTTTAGGGAGTAAATTCTGGAATGCATACACATACACTGGCACGAATTTAAATAAAAAAAGTAGAAAAATTAGTGAGTTGTTACCATATTAAACATGTAAAAAAATAACATAACTCCTGGTTGACAAAATGAATAGTTCATTATAACCTAAAAGTCCCTTGGAGCCATAGCTTACTCTTGCAAAAATATTAAAAAAAATTGAATAAAAATGCAGCTAAATTTAATTCAACATTTATGAATCGCAACTGTTTTTAAAAATGAAATATCGTGATAATGGAAACAACTATCTTTTTAATAAACCTATGACTCTCAACTCTTATGAGTTAAATGATGATATTTTATTTATGCAAGTCATCCTGACTTAGTGGTTGAGAACTTTGCCTTTCCACGAATAAATATTGAGTTCAAGGCTTTGCATACACGATTTTTGTGTGTTTGAGTGTGTGTGCAGGAAAAAAATAGGGTGATCTTGTTTTACCATAACCAATCAAAATTTAGAATATTAAATTTTTTTCCTACAAATGTTATATTTTTTTTAGATATAAAAATAATCATTATGAGAATCATTCTCATCATCAGCATAACCATATATAAAAATAATCATTATGAGAATCATTCTCATCAGCATAACCACAAATAGCTTTGCCTCAATCATCATCATATTATTTTTTAAATCATAATTTACTTCATTGTCCTAATTTTCTTCGTTTTTTTTACGAGTGTTAAACCTCAATGAAGATTATTTCTTTTTTTATCTTAGTTCAATATAGAATGTTATTATTTGTATTCAATTAAGCTCACTAATTTTATACTTATGGCTCATTTCAGTTTTTCTTACCAATCACTAATTCATTATCTTTATTTCTCTCTTCATCTATTTTTCTTACTAACTACTCACGAGCACTGATTAAAATTGTGCTTTAAGGAGCGCCTTGAGGCCCTGTAATTTTGAAAAAAATGTTTCGAGGCATGAGTCTCAAGCAGCTTGTGCGAGGTATACACCTCACATAGTTGAGGCGTGCCCTGGCTCAGTTCCACCGAGTTGTGCGCCTCTCTTGTCTAGAATTTTGTTATGTCGGTCCCTATGTTTAGTCTTTTATGCCCCTAAGTGCTATTTAGTCGTTGTCATTTATTATTGTATCATATAAATTGGACTAATATGCTTAAGGTTTGGGTTATACATGAGATTGTTGTATTTGGGCTTTAGTATTAAAGTTTGGGAGAGGCTTCTTACTTGTCGAATAGTAGGATTTGGGAGAGATTGCCCACCTCTCTAATTTATGTATTTATTTTTTATGTTTTTAAAGTTGTAATCGTTGATTTGCTTTCAGTGGAATAATAAGTATTTTTTTTGTTCTAATTTATTCAGAAAATCATTTTGGTTCCTACGAGATTTGTATTATAACATTTGGTTCTGGGAAAAGAAAGTTTGAGTGTGCACTAGTCACAATCTGAGAGCCAGAGCTCCAAGCAGTCGTGATTTGGTGCTAGTGTGGATGGCAACATGAAGATCGTGACGTATAGGGCCAACGACAAGATCGAGGCATATACATAATTTAGTCGTGATTTGGCTTGCTACGACAACAGGTCGGGGTCCTACACAAAAGCAGGCACAACCACATATTTTTTCTGGCTCGGATGCCAGTAACGAGATTGCACGATGTAGGTGTGCGATGCAATTAGGAAATAGCCACAAGGAAGTCGACTGATCATGATATACAAATGTTCCATGTTGCTCTTTACTGAAATTCACAATCTGCATTGAGGTGTAAAGGAGTTCTGCGCTGCTTGTTACCAAAATTCATGATTGGGATCTATGACCTACTGGAATCTCATTCGCGAGAGGCCAACAACAGGATTTCGCCTACCGAACCTGCTTATAGGAATTGAGGTCACGACATCTAGAGTGTTGCGCTGCACCAAACCACGTAGAGGAATTTAAGGATCTCGACATGCAAAGTTTTGTGCACGTTGAATCCGCGTACTGAAATTTCAAAACTCGTGATTTCAGCATGAAGGAATTCCGAAAATGTACATTAAGTAAGGACAACCATTAAAGTAGATGATTTGGGAAAAAAAATTGAAGAGGTGAGCCAAATGAAGAGCGTTTCTCATATATGGAGGGGAAATTAGCCGCGTTGGAAGAAACAATGAACTTCGTTGTCTTGCACATTCCCACCACCACCTATAGTGGGATCGAGCGAAGGGATTGGAAGCGAACTCGAAGGAATAACGCGACATCTGAACGTCTATAATGAGCGTCAACAGGTGGAATGAGATGCTGCGCAACTCAGGGTTGGAAAAAATTGATTTGAAGGATTTCAGCCTGAAATAGAAAACCATGGTGTGTGGGACCCCGACTGAGAGTTGCATCCGACATTGTCCTAGCTTTTTTTTGCAACAACTTTCGGGCGGAAGGAGATTTATGAGCCTATGATGAAAGGCAGGCTGGTTCTGGGGTGAGCCAGACTCATGGAAGAAGATAATTCAATATGGGTTGAGGAAGGGAACCCAACCCCCGTTTTATGGGAGGAAAGAATTTTGTTCAAGAAGATTGGGGAGGTGACTAGTCATAAAGATGTTGAAGATGCCGATCTTTGATGGAGATGATGCCTATTGTTGGGTTTATCGTGTGGACTGTGGATATATACTTTTGTTATTGAGCCAATGTAGGAAGAAAACTTGATGGCGGCTGCTCTGTGCTTGGATGAAATGACTCTCTCATAGTTTTGATGGAGAGAAGAATGTCGACCAATCCAAACAAGAGCATAATTCAAGAACCGATTGTTGGAGTACTTCAGAACCACACAGAAAGGAGATTTACATGAGATTTTATTTATTTATTTATTTTTTGCATTGGTCTACGAAGGATCCATCATGGAGTACAAAGAGAAATTCGAGATGCCATCTGCCTATTTGAGAGGGGTATTAGAAGAAATGTTGGAAGGTTACTTCATGATAGGGTTGAGGACAAAGGTTCGAGCATCATTTTGTTGTCGAGCCACAAGAATTGGGGGAAACTATGGAATTAGTATAGTTGTTTGAAAAAAAAAAAATTGAAATATACTAGTATGAGAAGCACAGGTTGAGCACTGTACCAAACTATTATAACCACAATGATACCAAAAGCTCAAACCATTGAAGTTTAGAAGTCTTCATAGGATAAAAATAAGGGGCCACGAGTAGGGGCGACACCTAAATGCCATATGGAGATAATGATTCATGAGAAGCGAGCTAAGAGATTCTGTTTTCAGTGTGATGAGAAGTTTTTCCAGGGCATCGTTGTAAGGATCAAACATTACAGTTTTTCACAGTATGTGAAGAGGAGACAGGGGGTAACACCCAAATTTGGCCCTTTTAGGTAAATTTTGGCAACTTTAAGGTACTCCCCAAATTTATCATTTTTCGAAATTCTTCTGGAGCAATTTTATAAAATTTAAAATGTTGAAGCGATAATTTTTATATCAAGTACCATGCATGAATTATATTTATAAGGGGAGATATAAATTGTTGAAGTATCAACTTGATTAATACTTTACATAATCCTAATCTCTTTCCATAATCCCATTCATTGTTCCCAACTGACCCTCTCCCGCACTATATCACACATGATACGACTGAGATGAGATCGAATGGTTAGGTTTTTTTTGGAATGAGTTAAATATTGTATTGCTCTCCTCCCTCACTTAATTTTTTCATGGTTTTGAGTCGCCTGTGACTGCGCGGAATGAGTTAAATATTGTATTGCTCTCCTCCCTCAATTTTTTCATGGTTTTGAGCCGCCTGTGACCGCGTATCATTGTAGGCGGGATTTGTGCGCATAACGTATAGCCGCAAGTCTTGATTTAGGGCTCCAGTACGAAATTTATAAGAGGGAGCTTCACTTTTGCGCTTATAGGAACATTCCTTTCATAGATTTTAATTTTGATATATTTTACAAATTTAAGCATTTCGTGTGTTTCCTATTGCTATAGCCTTGTGGGAACAACCGCATAATGTCGAACCAAGAGCTACGCTCTCTGGTAGGTCCATTTCACTAGTTTGGGATGGGTAAAGAGAAAAGAAGAGGGAGCAAATTAGGGAAGTATCAGGGAGACATTTTTGTTGAGAAGCCCTTTCGAGGTAATTTAAAGCAAGAAAATCATATTTGGGGTTAAATTAATAAATCAATTACGAATTTCATGAATTTTTAAGAGATTATGTATTCCAAGCTGTTTACACTAGACAAAGTGTTCGAGTTGAGCTCGGGGAAATTCGTTGTATGGCGCTTCATCGATTCATATGAAATAATCTTGTGCTAATTTAAGCGAAATATTTCTTTGTAGTTTTTTATGTGTTTATGTTTAACACTGTTGCATTTAGAAATTTCTGTATAATTTTGATGATTACCTGCATAGAATGTATAACTGCAATTTTGATTTGTCCCTTACGATACATATGATTCTACTATGCTATGCATCTGATTAATATGCTTATGAAATTATTATTTATAATTATTCGTGTGCTATGATTAATGTACAAGATATATGAAATGTCTATGATGAATGTTTGTTACAGAAATTATTCTTTTAGAAATGTTATAAGTGATGTTAATGGTAGACTATTTTATAAATACTTGCAAGTACTGATAATAAGGAACAATGAGATTTCCGAATCCTGACATTTAGATGGAAACAAAACTTCAGGAATCGTTGGGATTAGACGGAGACATAATGTTGAGAATTATTGGTGTTGTGGGGAATATTGATATCAACTATGTTGAGAGATGCCCATCCTTTATCAACAATTAATATAACCTTCGGGTTGAGTGGGTACTCATGAAATGAGATGGCATGAAAATAATTGAGATCTATATAATTACAAGTGATATTCATATGATTAGATTGATTACTCTTATGAATAAATTTATGATTACACTTGAATGATTGAAATATATGTTTTATATAACGATCATGATTCTTTGCATTATATGCTTTTTT